ACTAAACTAAAGGAAAAGGAATGCATTCATGAAGAACTTAAAGAAAACTTTATATATTTCAGTAATTAAAGTGCATGAAAATTCAGTATAAAAAAATTAACACGGATATGGAACAAAAATACCTATGTTTTATCACATAAAATTTCATTTTTAACAGCACAATATCTCTGAGTTAAAGATTATATATGAAAGCAAATTTATAAAACTAAATTCAAAAATGAAAAATTAAATTATTTTTAGGAAAAATAATAAATAAATAAATAAAATTGAATTTCATCAATAAATGAAAGTTACATGCTTTATTTTTTGGCATAAGGTAGATATTTCAAGGGCAGTTAGTGTATGCATTTTTCAGAAGAGATTAATCATGTTAAAATTGCCTTTGTTTTTCCATTATGCTTCTTCTTGCTTAATTACAGTAGGTTTTAAGATAAATATTAAAATGTTTGAGTAAAAGACAATATAAGAAAGTAAGAAACATACAAACAGTGAAAAACACATTAGTGCAAAACAGGAAGTTTTTGAATCTATTGATTTGGTATTTTATATCATTAAATGTACCAAATGCTAAAAATGAATGATTCGGCACACTCGCAAAAGAACAACACATGCTTTAGGAAAATCATATTTCCTAGAATGACTGTATTCATATAATTTTACATAGGTGAAGAAAGCATGAATATTAAACACTGAAAATATAAAATTTTCACTTACTTTCTTCAAATAGTACTGTAATATCAGATCCGATATAGAACATGGCCATTGCTTACAAACACCACCATTGCTGAGTGCTGAGCTGCTGAGTTGACAAATATCCCACCATGCTGCCGAAAGTAGAAGAATTCCTGCTTTGCGATTGGTCAGTGAACAAGAATTAAAACACGTTCTTTTTCCCCTTTATAATTAAACATATTAAGAAAGCTCTAAATTAGCATATGAAATTAATTTATTTTTGCATTGTATAAATTTATATTCACAGCACATCTGCAGTAAAGTAATAATTTATTTTTTATATGAAAAATAGAAATGCCTAGCTCTGCACATGCTCAGTGCATAATCTTAAAAGCGGGTAATTTTATAAGTTAGCGTAAAATTAACCGCATAAATTTTGAGTTTGTTTTACTGGAAAGTTGTACATAATCTGAAGATCTCCATATTAAGAATGTCCTTAACTGTTTCAGGAAAAATATGAATATAATTATTTATTTACATTAATTATTTTATTTTCTCATATAAAAATTATTAAAATTACTGTATCATTAATTTGTATCAACTGTATAATTAATGTATGAGAAAACATACATTAAACAAAATTAAAAAATTTTAGCCTCATGTGATTTTTATAATAATGATTTAAGGAGTTGAAATTTATGTAGAATATCAGGATTTCATAGTTATTATTATTAAATAAAAATATTTGTATATAGCATTAAAACTCATTAAAAAAACTCTATTTTTGCACTTTGTTTTGTTTTGAAAGGAAGAAAGAACTATAAAATGAGAAATAAAAACACAGATACTCTGAATCATAGATTTTTTTAAAAAGGGTTTTAGTATTCGTATAATATGCGTAAAAGTAACGAATGAAAAATATGCTGTCGAGAGTTTTTAGTAGTACATTTCATTTCATATAATTTTCGTAAAAATAACATATGTAAAATACGATAAAGCGTCGATAGTATCTTCAGTTTTTTTAATTCATAAAACTTTCGTAAAAATAACGTGCAAAAATTATCACACCCTTATTTCACCAAAATTACACGTATATTTTTGAGACATGCTGCCTGGGTATGTGTGTATGACAATGGAATTATGGTTACATTTTGCTAAGAAATTATGCAGCAACGTGTAATTTGCTGTACAAATAAATAAAGTAATATTAAATATACTGTACCCTAAAATATTCTTTCTCTCTCTCATGCATCTGAAAAATTAAGGATTTTTAACTTAATCCTCAAAATGAAGAAATGCCTTTTTTATGTTGTACAACATAGTACATGCCTTTATATGATGCTGGAGGTTCATTTTTCATACATACAGCCTACTCCGAAATTTTAAGAAATTTAAGTTTTTTTCCATACATATGGGTACCGGACAATAGAAATATTTGAATCACTTGACGCATGTTGTGGTCGTCCCCTAAACCACCAATTTATGAATTATTTTCCTCTCTTCTTTCTGAATTTTTTGAGTGAAAAAAAAAAACGACTGATTACTTATCTTTTACTTCTAAATAACACAAAATGACTGCAGAACCATGCATTTGTTAGGTCTTAGTACCTCAAATCAGATGCCTTTTAAAATTCATTTTCAGTGAGACAAAATAACTTCCTGTTATTAATATAAACAGCTTTAAATTTCAAAAGTTATTCATTGCACATCATCATTTCTATCATAAACAATAAAAATATAACAATAATTAAATGCATATATAAACAACCTGCATATATTTATGACATCTGCTTCGTGGTTTCAGGGCACGACTACTGAGCCAATAGAGCATTGTGTCACGATGCTTACAATACTCTAGAGCAGTGGTCATCAACACTTAGAACTTCACAGACCACTACATATATAATTTTATATTTGGCAGACCACTAATATGATTTTTTTTTAAAAAAAGATAAATACATTTATGCAGTAATAATCAGCAAACTACACGTATTTCGTTCACATCGAAAAATTACATGAAAAGTACAAAAATCTAGTACAGGAAAGCTTTACATTTCCCTATAACTGAAAAGCAACTTCACGAAAAGAAAACCAGCAAACACAAAGCAATATCAATAAACTGACAGTGTTATGCTGCCAATTTTTCATTATTGTAAACATAATAATCATCGCTTACTCAGCAATGGTACCATCGATCAACAGTTAGACAAAACCAAAATGAAAACTTTCAGTCATGCAATTATAAGAAAGAATGCAGATGGTTCTCATAAAAATCCATCAAGATGCCTATTGACACGGAAAAAACCTGTGTTATTAATGACCACAATAGCATAATTAAAAAAATTGTAATTCAAAAGGAAAGAGAATTTCAGTTTGCACTGTTATTGATAACAGCAGTATATTCATAGATGCCACCTCTCACTTTCAAGTGTTGCTATATACACCTGCAAAAGTAGCTAAAAACTTGCTAAATTCAGAAGGAATTTTGCTAAAAGTAGTAGCTAAAATTTTTAAAAAAAGTGTAATCCATATTCCATGATAGTTTTTGTTACTCGTCATTTTATAAACTGAATCTTCCTAAAAGTATAAATAATATCCCAATTTTTCTGCAGGCCATCAAAAAGTTTTCATGGACACGAGTGGTCCATGGACCACTGGTTGGCGACCACTGTTGTAGAGATTCAATGATTGTGAACTGAAACCACTGCTGCTCACAATACTCATATTTGAAAGCAGCAAACACAATAATAGTGTTTGCTGCTTTCAAATATGAGTATTTATTTTTCACCAGATATAGCTAAGGAGCTCTAAAACCACAGAATTATTTTATTACTAAACAATACATACACCTGCCCAGTAAAAATGAACTCCCTTGCCCCCATCAACATTAAAAAAACACAAACTTCATGTGCCAGATGAAAAGAGACTAAAGAACCCTGAACATATACCAGTAGAATGCAAATCTCTGCGGTGTACACTTTGTAGCACAAGGGAGAAACTTCACAGAACAAGATACATGTACAAAATGTGCCATACCTTCTTCATTGCTATAGAAAAATTACATAAATGTTTAATTTTTCATTTTTTCTGACAATTTACTTTGTAAAATAATGTAAAAAATTAACATATGATGCAGTTTTTAAATACTATATTTTTTTTTAATTTGCAAATTTCGTCATTTATTAGAAATGCACATGGTAAAAAGTTTTTTTTTTTTTTTTCCCCCTACTGCCTCAGTAAGTTTCAAATGATGATGGTGGATGCACACTGCTTTTACAGTGCAACCATCACCCACAGATCAATGGGCAAGAGTAGATTTTTTAAAAATTCATAATAAACTGCCATATTCAATGTCTATAGTTTTTTAGTTAAAACATTATAAAAGTAATATTGTGTGCATTAAAAGGTTAATAAACAGTTAATCATACATCATTTGCTTAAAATATTATTCCAATATTAGTAGTCTTGCAGTTCCTGTTATTTATCAACCATTGATGTAAATATAGGGTATTACTTAATAATTTAAGCTTAACAGCATTTGGAAAATATACTTGTTAAGTGGAAGTATATGTGATGCAATGAAGAAAAGCAGCTATTTATAGATAAACTATTATTATACTCTAACATAGTTGTAGTAGCGATGATATTAATGTTATTTGAGGATACCTTGTAATAGTTGACATACACATATTGTGATGAAATACGTTTTAACAAGTCAGCATGAGCTATTCGTTTTTACCAAAGTAATTCATTTTTGAAGGGATTGATAACTAGTTGTTTAAATATGGTCCAAACCTGGTCATCCAGTTAACATCAGAAGGTTATCTGTTAAGTTTGGTGAGATTGTAATTGCATTGTGTATTTTATTAAGGCACAAAACAGTCAATTCTAAACTGTACCACAGGTTATCACATCCAGATTTGGTAAACTGTAAAGGTACCATATAACATTGTGACAATTTCAAATCTCGAACACCATTAGCCCCTCATCACAAACTGTTGGAACTTGGTTGGGATGTGTCACCACATCCACCATATAGCCCTAATACTGCATTAGCTGTCAACTATTTATTTAGTGCTCACAAAATTACTCATCTGATAAAACCTTCATTTTTGTAAAATCCTTCTAGAAAAATATTTTTTCCGGGGGGGGGGGGGGAAGAGCGAGAAAAGTTTATTGAAAGAGGCAAATGATAATTGAGAAAAATGAACAGTATTTTGCTGTTTAAAAAATTATTTGTGTTTAAAAAACTACCTCCTCCCCCCCCCTCAACTGAATAAAAAGTGAATGTAGTTTTTTTTTTTTTTTACCCTCTTTTCTATATATAGAATGAAGATCCCCCAAAAGCTGGTCACTATTATTTAGAAGAATCAGAAGGCCACTGGGGAGTAGCAACTTGCTTAAATACTACTTGCAAAATATGCAAACTGCCATTAACTTCTCATTTGTCAGCATCAAATGGTGGCATAACTGTGTATAGATGTGGTGAGTATTAAAGTTATTTTATTTAAATTTAATAAATTATGCTCTGCTTATATATTGCACTTGATTTTCTTTCTGTTATTTAGTAAATGAAATTAAATAATGTATCTTATTTTAAATTGCAATTGTAAAAATTTTAATAGGTCATTCATATCACACTGCCTGCTCAAGTGAAGGATTTTGCATGGCTTGCCTTAATTCTCATACTGGAGATGGATAAGTTTCTTTGTGCCAAATGTTGTACTTATAATTTCGGTTTTAAAGACTATTAAAACTAGTACAACTGATAAAGATTAGTTATTGAGTACTTGTAATATATTTTGCTATCAGTCATCTGAATTCTGAACTGAAGTTTCAAGTTAAATCTACTTAGAATGTATATGAAATGTTTATATTTGTGAATTTATAGGAATAGTGTATAGAACATTCATCATTCATACACATATTGTGATTTTCAATCAAGGTATCATAGATTACAAGATATATTTAATTTTGTATTGTTTACAATTTGTATAATGTTTATAAATTTAATATATTTATCTGTGATTTATAGCTTTGTTTATAACTTAGTTTTTTTTTAATATTCCCTCCATATTTTATGTTGCCATAATTTAATGTTTTTCCTTTTTTTAAAAAATTTGGCATAATTTATATCCTAGTCTGTCTCTATATAGCATAACAGCATTGAAACAAAAATGGGTATAATAATAAAAGGTTTATAATGTTGCTTTTCAAACAACTGTTGTTACCTGTGTTATCATTCCTGTGAAAAGAATTGTTACAGATGTTTGATGAGATATTGATGAATGGATAATGATTTTTAATATGTAAGAACTTAACCCCCCTGAAAAAAAAATCTTTAATCTTTATGTAATTATTCCTAAAATATCCTATTGGAATTTATTCACTTAATTCATAATTGTTCAGCAACTTCTAGTTTAGAAAATGTAATATAATGTATGGAAAATCTAATTTACAAGTAAGATAAATTTATGAATAGGAAAATATATATTGTATTGAAGCATTTGAAATGAACTAGGGGAAAAAAAAAAAAAAAAAAAAAAAAGGCCATTCTGAAATAAGATGCTTGTACAATTGCATTACATTTTAATTGAATAGTTTTATGCGTATATTATGTTAATATACAACTGCTTTTGAGATATAAATTTTTAATTGTGCAGTTTCTTAATGCATTTGATAAAAGTGAGTGCTGAACAGATTTAAAATTAAATATTTCATCTTTTAAATAATGCACATCAATAAAAATGTAAATAAAAGAAATGAAATACCAAAAGTTAAGCAAGCTCCTGAGATTTAATTTATTAGAAAACTTTGACAATTCTTGATATTTAATGTAATTGTCCTTTATAACATAAAACATCATTTCACAGGCTGAAAATTTTCTGATTTTTGTAGATATGACCCTAAAAGTATCAGATTTCTCTAGTAATGTTTTATTATTGCTGATCCCATTAGTAATGTAGTTTTTTTCGCTTGCATGTACTGACAGAGCAAAGTCTAATTTTAATGACAGAAGATCTTTCAGAGCAGGTTTAATAATCTATACAAGGGTTCATTGCATTTAAAAGCATTAAGAAGAGTTTCTCAAAAGCTCACTGGGTTCTATGCAAATTGTCAAGCATGAGTTTGAAGCTACAAATTTAAATTTCTACTTCTTACCCTGGGTCCAATTAAGAGCATCTGAGATTCTAGACTCAGCATCCCTTCAAGAAACCCCAGTTCTCAATTCCCATGTTTTTATGTGAGAAAAATAAGGTTTTGAGAAAATAAATGATGATTTGGGTTTCTTAAAAAATGGCATCTTGGGATCATACTTTATGAGAGTATGTCGTGATCTTGTCTCCCTAGATCAGGGGTTTACAGGTTTAAAGAAGTTGAGGACTTCTTTTATGTATCATGCATTTTCTCAGACCCTCTTACCATTCATTTGAATGATATTATATTTTTATAATGAAATGAATGAAAAAAGTCTAATTTATTTTGGAAAATTACTTAAGGAACCTCAACTATTAACTCCTCAAATCCTAGCGATATAGAGACCATAACATTTAGAATCATTGCTCTAAAGTTTTTTAAAAAAAAGAAAAAAGCATTTATCAATGAAATATTATATATTTTCATATACAAGCTGAAATTTTTTAACAGATTTTTTTACCACTTGTTTGGAGCATTCAAGTTCAAAATGCCTTACAAATAATTTGGTCATAAAAATGATATTACAAATTAATAAAAACATATTATTTTTATTTTGTTTGATTCTAATATACAATTATCAGTTCATTAACATTGTTACCTGACTCAGAATTTTCCAATAATTTTTATGTGTTTTCTTGAGATAAGTTTGGGTGAATGTTATCATCCTTCATTTCATCATTAACATTGCTATCTTTTCCTTCATGAACAGTATTATTATTAGTTCTTTTCATAGCATTCCTGAATAAAAATGATAATTTTTAATTAAAAATTTTAAAAAAAAATGTAATTTTTTGTCTTGATCTCTGTTTTTATATGGTGAATAGAAGAAACATTTTAGTAATAAAAGAGAAAGCTCAGTTGAGAGCAAGAAATCTTGTGATTGTTTAAAATGTTTACTACTACAGATAACCAAAGTAAAATGCAGTATACTGTTGCCAAAGTGTGAAATGATGTACATACCCAGAAGTTGAAAAATCGAGAAAAAAGAAATTTTTCACACGGAATGTGCTCTTTCATTCTAAAGTACTCTCATCCATTTATTTGAAATGGAAAAGGAAAATGAATTGATGCCTACATTTAGCTCATCTGATGGGTTTGTTAATGTTGCACAATTAATTATCTGCACTTTTGGTGGTATATACAGAGTTATTCAGGAATAGTTAGCAAAAATGTAAAAACATATAGAGGGGAATATATAAGCATATTTTTTTATGAAATATGTGTAGTGAAAGGTTGCACTGAGATGTTACAGGTGCTGTTAAAGAGCAGCTTTCTGCTTGCGTAAATCATCATTCTCTGTGTGAATTTCAAATGGTATGCATTAATTACACAATCACAGGTTTCACCAACATGCATTTTGTCTACAAGGCTCTAGATGAAACTGAGCATCTGCTTAAAAGAAGATACCCAGGAATTGTCCTTTGTACCCTTTTGAGTAGCTGCTTCATTTTAAAAGCAACTCCATAGATAAAATCCATGTTGGTGAACTCCTTGTTCATGTAGCAATGAATGCCACTCAGAATTCACATAGGAAATGATGATTTGTGCCTAGGAAATGATGACTTGTGCCAGCAGAATGCTTTTTTTAATCTATCCCTTAACAACAACATGTATCACCTCAACACACCATTTTGGCACATTCATTTCATTATAAGCAATTTTTCCGGTGCATAATGTGAATATTAGCCAGTTTCTCTTGAAAAGTCTTCCACAATGGTAAGGTCCTCTTAAGCAGATGTTCTAGCATGCTTTGCCATAATCAAATAAAAAAAAAAAAAAATTGAACTATTCTATTACAAAATCTGCTTATTTTGGTCCCCTGTAAATTTTTGGCAGATATTTAATCACTCTGTATGGCAAAATTTATTGAGCAGTTTAAATTCAGTTTTTACATGGTCTCAAGTTTTTGCAGGAAAATCTTAGTTGCTAGTTTATGCATGGATTGGCTTATTATTTAGAAATACATAGTAATCATTGGTGACAGAAAGTGGATTTTTTATTAGAATATAAATTATAAAAGGCAGTGGGTCATTAAAAAGGAAACACCTTTCTCAAAAATGAAAGACCTTCATGTAAAGAATGTGGTGTGTTTCATGGGGTAATCAGTTATTTTCTGAACACAAAACCGTCATTAAAGAGCATTGTGGACAGTTGAGTTAATTAAAGCAAGTTATTGATGAAAAAAATTATGCACTAACTAATTGGTGATGGTATATAACTGCTATAACTCTTCCACCATATTCTTCTAATCTAGTCGTTCATATTACCATCATCTTAAAGGCTTCTAATACAGAACATGATATCTGCAGAGTTTTCTGCTGGTTACAGATGTATGGGGTTGTGCAAGTTACAATAACGAGGAGCTCCACATTCCAAGGAACCTCCAAATTATTGATTAAATTTTTAAAAAATTCGTAAACATATTCTGTGTTTTAAGATGAGTAGCCTCAAAAGTTCAGGTAAGAGTAGCATTCCAGTCTGTAAATCTGCCACTGACCTCAATCCATTCTTTAGGCTAAAATACAAGATAATTTGTCACCAGGGTAATGAAAATTTTAAATTAAGATTGGAAATGATCAGAAATAATAGTCATTCTTTTTTTAATTTTTGTATTTATTCTAAAAAAACTGCATTACTTATGGAATAGTCCAATAATTTATACTTAAATGAATTGTTGTTTTAAAGCAGAATATCGATATTGGATTATAAAATATTAAATAGAAAAATTTTATAGTCATAAAATACCCATTTGGTACAACTATAGTGGGTGAGAATTTTTCAGGAACATGTGTTTTGCAAGAAGAATTATTAACTGTTTAAGGAGTGGTGAAAAATAATTTATATTTTTTTAGTTCATAGGTATTGTTATAAAAGTCAATCATTTCTGTTTCATTATTTCATTTTTAGTACAAATCTCTAACATTGTAATTTCTAAATGTGTATTATCTAATTACTGTTACTTTTTACAAATGTTGATTTTTTTCAAAAGTAAAATATTAATGTACAAATTATATCAATTTTACAAAGTTACTTTTTCATATTTTAAATGACAATGAAAAATATTCATTGAACTTTCTGCTAATCATAGGTTAAATATCCTTTTACATGTTAAAGGTTTTGGTTTTTACCTAACCTCTCATTAAAATTTTCTACTTCACTGAAGCACATTATTCTCATCACTAGCACCAGCTTTTATGCTATTGCTCAATTTCATAGTGCCCTTGTACAAATATTATGCACTGCTTCATGGCAAAGAATATTCTTGAAGTTTTTGTGTAGTTATATAATAGATTAACTACTTATTCAGATCTTCCACCTACAACTAATGTTTGCTTAAAATTAAACAAAATAATGCAATTGAAATTTTACCAGAAGTTATTTTAAACAAATTTATATTAATTTGTTGATAGCATTTTATTATGCATGATTGTAATTGTTTATTCTAAAAATTAACTATATGAATCGTATGTACATGAACTTATAAATGTTTGTATAAATATCAGTGAATCTAAATTTTACTTCTAACAATTGCGCAAGAATTAGGCTTAATATATGGGTTATTCACTCATTTTATTTTATAAATGTTTTCTATTTTATTATTATGCAGCAAGACATTTAAAAATATTGTTTTCAAATAATTGTAAAAATAGCATATTTATGAAAATTTACAGAGCTTCTTAAAAATAAAATAATTTCTACAAAGCATAGAAGAGTATATAATTTGATCCAAAAATATTTATGATTGTGGTCATTTAAAATACTGTAGTAGATTCACTATTTGAATGTCAATAAATAATTGTGTTTCGATCATTTCAGATGAAATAGTTCTCCAAAAATACCACTACCTTATACTCCCCTTGCTGAAAAGAAAATAAGGTGTAAATTTTTCTAAAATATATGCATTGATCAATCTCTTTTCCTAGGTGGCTTTCTGCATTTTTGCTTCCACCACTAACTAAAATTAAAATATGTTCAAGGCGAAACGTAACCTTGCCCTGCTTTATGGTGAAAAATATTCTTATCATCTTTAAACACTGGATAGAAATTGCAGTGCTTTATCATACCTTGTCAATTATTAAATTTTGATTTTGTGGCAATAAAATCACTATTTTTGTTAAAAACTAAATATGTTAAAAATTCTAAATGAAAAAATAAATAAATAAAGAGCATTAACTTCATGTTTCTTTTTATTCTTTTTTGGGGGGGGGTGATTCTTTTTGATAGATTTAAAATAGTACTCACCTTATCAATGGGCAAACGGTTAAGGCCAGCGAATACTGTTGGTTCCACCCGAGATAAAACGAACTAGCTGCATGGTTGGTTTTTGTAGTTTTCTTATGCATAACATGAAGATGCAACAGCTTCACCTAGAAAGTCCTCCACAAGGTCATTCCTGCTTTTAGGCCAATAGCCCTTTTGGGCTTTGCTATAATCACTAACCTAACCCAAAATAGCATATGTAGTTCTTTCTTCAAGTACTTTCTTTGCAAAGTAACATTTGAAATGCCATCACAAAGAAACATTTCCTTATTATGCTATATATACAGTACATATTAAAATGGTAATAATAATCAGGTAAATCAAATACATCAGAACTAACAAAATTGTTTTTCTAGTTTCTTTACCTAAATGAGTCATCTTGAGTCTTTTATCAGTAAAATCACAAACTCATCATGTCAACTTCAATATTCAACCCTCTTACAACTTACAAGAGATCAGTAACACGCACCTACAATTTTTGTACATCACTTAGCATAAAATGTAATATGCAGAGCAGTATTGTAATATTTTTGTCCAAAGCAATTTCTAGAAAAGTTAAAATTTGCCAGTACACCATAAAATAAAAATTCAAAATCTGTGTAAACTTTCATCCTGAATTGAAGTGTCTATCTAAGCACATGCCATGATTTACATGTTGACAAATCATTAAAGCAGAAGCTGTATTGGCATAATCAGAAATGAATATGAAATATTTGTTGATGTTAAATAGCTAAAGAGAAAATATGAGCTTTATTTTGGGGAAAGTCATTATAACTTATATTGATGACAAAAAGTGATCATAGGTTAGCACATATCTCAGATAAATTTTCCTAATGTAAATTACTGATTTTCTGCTTTTAATCTGTCATTCATTAGTTTATATTTTTACTACTGTTCAGAAGATACAAAAGGGCTTAAATATGTAAAATAAACCATAGTATTCTGAAAAAATTTACATTTGCATTAAGCTCGGTGACTTCTTTGTTAGCAAAAATTGTGTTTGATTTTTAGCAAAGCTAGCTCCAAGCATAAAATATCAAGCATAGGTGATGTAGGCAGGTGCCTAGGGCACTTGTTTTCAAAGTCTATCAGCTAAACAGAAATCACATTATGAAGTAAAAGTAACATTTTTGTCTTTGACAGAAAGCAACATATAGCAGAACAGTGTATCTGGCACTGCTAGATTTCCATCCCTGTAATAACTTACAATTTTTATCATGTTATTCTTTCAAATTACCATTATCTTTCTAATAATTTGCCTTTCCCTTTCTATTCGGGCATATGTCATATTTTTATGTGAAAAATCTACTGTTATGTTTATTTATTGCTAAAAGTTTTAATTTCTCATAATTGAAGCTCTGTAAATATATGATTTTATTTTCGGGGAATTTTTGTTATTTAAGGTTTCATTTTTAGTGTACAGAGAAGTGTTGTATAATCAAAAAATCTATTTTTTCCAGTGTTTGTTTAATTATAAGATTATGCTTATCTTTATGTATTCTTACAATTAAATATTTTTAAAATGCCACTGTAGTATCATAAAAGTTTTGTTTATGAAATAATGCAGCAACATTCTTAAATATATATATTGTCTTTCATGTGAATTATCTTTTTATGGAAATTTATGTTTTCAGCTAGACATTAAACGACTATTTTTGTAAAAGCTTGTGATTCACAGCTTTCTAGATCATTATGCACTATGCTCTTCCTTTGTGAGTATCTTTTTTATATTATGAGCTATAATTATAGATTTCAATGCCAAAAAATTTCTTCTTGACTTAATTTGAGCACATCCCAAAAAAAAAAAAAAAAAAAAAAAAAATTGGGGGGGGGGGTAAACTAGATTCTATACTTCTAATGCAGATTTCTTCAAAATATCTAGAATAAATATTTTTATTGTTTAAGTTTTGTTTATCTTTTTATTTTAGATACATACACAATTTGCTTGCCACTTGTCAACTATGATTACAGTTATTCTCATTAACAAAGCAACTAATCACTAATCATCAGCTAGTGTCTCTATCTTATTAGTGCATATATATTAAATGAAAACATATTTAAAAACTCCCAAATTCAGCTTTAGGTGCATTGTAATTGATCTTTAATAATACAGCATTATTCATTTTGCTGTAGATATAAACAACTTTAGCTCTCTGGTTCAGAAATTATTTCAATGTATGTGTGTACAAAGCGAAACTTCAATAATTTGAAATTTTCAATAAATCGAACTGGAAGTGTGCCCACAATAAAATGTGTAAAATTTGATGGGAACTTTTATAAAATATGTTTGTAAGGATTTTAAGTTTTACTAACGTTTATTTTAAATCTTAACTATCACTTCTTATTTTCTACTTCCGGCCAGAATTATAAGCGTTAACGTATTTATGCAAAGTTTGTCTGGCGAGCGCCAAGTATTTAAGTTGTGGCTTTTTGCCAAGCGAGAGAGAGGAAGCAGTTAGTCGAAGCAGGTCGCTTACCTTAGAAGTTTTACTGAGTTGCTGGTTGCCTTCCAGGCCAGAGGTTTAATCTTCTTGATAACTTTAAACGTATTGTAGTGTTCACAGTTCTCTGTACTACATACGGCTTCCTGTTAATATAAGGCCAATCTTCCACATTTATTATTTTAAAGTTAAATTAGAGTTTAGTTTTATTTTTATATTCTTACGTTTAGACTACAAATAGTGGGTCTTTGTATTCCGAAGTACGGAAGTTATTGTAAATAGAGAAAAATAAAGGGTTTTGTATACCCTTCTTGTGTATCCTGTCTACTTCCCACAGTTATTGAACATAGCTTCAGTAAGCTCTCTGTTCCGAGTTCAGGTCCTTGCATGTTCCCGAACGCAAAGTAAGACGGAACATTGAACCCTGATAGTGGCGCCCAACGAAGAAGAATAACCATGGACCGAGTTTCAAGAAGAACCTGTGCTGCCTGCAGAAGCGGCTCAGAATCCAGAAATGCCAGCTGCCGCCCTGGAAGGATTTGGTTACATCGTCCAGACCATGCGCGCATTCGATGAAACCAGCAGCAACATTTAATGGAAACTCACCGGTGAACCAGTTTTTTGGAAAAATTGGATGCTGACCACTTCATGCTCTATATCCAGCGTGCATGAGTTCCAGAAAGTTACCTTAGCTACCAGCGCTTTGAGGGCCAAGAGCGCTTAATTGGTTCAAATGTGTATAGGCAGAAGTCTCTTGGGTCAAGCAGGAAGTCCCTCCCACCTATACTTACAAAAATTTCAATACTGCCCTACTAAAAGCCTTCCCTGTTGTAAGGGATCGTGCGAAATTAGAAACGGAACTTTTCAGCATATATCAGCATGAATATAATGAAAAATAATTTAAACTAAAACGGATTTCTGCTGACGGGAGGGTGCGGAAATCCGAAGGCCAAGAAAACCCCTCTTCCTTCAAGTTAAATACAGTAATGGTGAAAAATTTGACTCTTCCGAAGATTGAAGTGTTGGTGAATAATATCCCAGCCACCGTACTCCTAGATACAGGCGCGCAGTGTTCCTGTGTGGCAGAAGATTTTTTTTCGGAAGTACTTTCGGAAATATACCGCATATATAATTCGGATTAATTCGACAGTGTTAGCGGCGCAAGGAGAAAGATGCAAGTGCATAGGTAAATTACCGCTATATCTGTATTCGTATCAAGGACGAAGCAAGTAAACATAATGTTTTTTTATAGTAAAAAATCTGCAAGCACATATTAATCTTTAGGAATAGATTTTCTTTCAGAGGCAGAAGCAACGCTGGATTTTAATGAATGAAGCCTCCCTTAAGCTGACGATGAAACCAGTTCATGCAGAAAAGGCTGAACCGCCGATGTTAAATCTTGACCACCTACCTAATGAAGAACAGCGAAGAATCCGACAAGTGGTAGGTGAATTTGCTTCGTTATTTAGTGATATTCCAGGATTTACTCAGGTTACTAACCATAGTATTGACACCGGAGATTCAATGCCAGTTCGCCACAAAGCATGCCGGTATGATAAGAATAAGGAAAAAATTATAGAATGGCATATCACCGATATGCTACGTAAAAAGATCATAACGCCCATCTCAAGTAGTTATGCTAGCCCGGTGGTTTTATGTAAGAAAAATAATGACTATCCTTTGACACATCCAAAAAGGTGGAGATTCGCAATTGACTACCGTAAAATTAAACTCCATAACTAAATATCCGGTATATCCGTTACCTATTATTGAAGAAATTCTAAGGAACATAACATCCACCAAATATATGACGACTTTAGACTTAACGACTGGTTATTTTCAAATAGGGGTTAGGCCTGAGGACGTGCCTAAGACTGCTTTTATGCCGTTTGGTCTTTCAGGGGCACCGGCAACATTTCAGCGATGTATGGACATTGTGTTAAGACCTGTGACCTGTTCTTGGAAAGTCCACATTTATCTATTTAGACGATATCATTATTACTAGTGATAATCTCGACCAACATGTACAGGATTTGAAGACAAGGTGTTTTCTTTATTAAATGAGGTCCGGTCTTCTAAAAGTTAATGTTCGAAAAGTGAAAATTTGCACAGCCCCTGAATTAAAATACTTTAGGTTACAAAATATTCTCAGAAAGGAATCGAGACGGACGAATCAAAAATAATCGCTGTACAAAAAGTAACCGACTCCAAACACGGCGAAGAAGAGAAGCTCTCTTGTTTTCTAGGACTTTGTTCATATTATAGGTCCTTTATAAAAAATTTGCAGTGCAGCTATTGCTGAACCATTGTTAAAATTAAAAAGGAAAAAGGAAAGCAAGATTCTCGTGGACGGCCGAAGCCAATAGTGCTTTCGAAAAATTAAAACATGCATTAACGCAAGCCCCTGTGTTGAAATTTCCTGAAAAGGATGAGAATTTAGAAATTTCAGCGGATGCTTCGGATTATGCGGTAGGAGGGCGGTACTTTCGCAAAATCAGCAGCCCGTGGCATTTTTTAGCCGAACTTTAAATCAAACACAAAGAAACTATTCCGCGACCGAGAGAGAGAGGCACTTGCAGTTCTGTTAGCAGTGCAAAAGTTCCGAGTCTATTTTGGAAAGGCGCCAATAACAGTGTACTCTGATCATGCGGCGGTAACTAGATTGTACTCAGGGAAAAAACTTATCCCCAAGGTTAATAAGATGGGCACTCAAGCTACAAGAATATAATCTAGTAATCAAGCATACCCCCCCGGAAAGGAAAATATCGTAGCAGATGCCCTATCCAGAATTAAAATAGATGAAGAAGGTAATACTGTAAAGGTGGCAATGCTCACAGCATGTACAATAAATTCCCGAGAAACTGTAATAACCGAACTGGGTAAGGATCCTGAGTTTGGAAGCATTTATGAGTATTTAAAGGATCCTGAAAATTTTAGCCACCAAGATATTGTGGCGATAAGAAATAGGGCGGCCCATTACGAACTAATAGATGGTCTATTATTTTATACAAAAACTATGAATTCCGACCTGTTATCCCAGCTAGTCTTAGATTAAATATCCTGCAGGAGCTCCATGACAGCCCTTTAGCTTCTCATGCTGGTATTCGAAAAACTATCCAACGCGTACGCGAAGCAGTCTATTTTCCTGAACTGCAAAAGTTAACAAGGGCGTATGTCCAGTCCTGCCCAACATGTCAAGCAGTTAATTATATTAATTTCCGCCCGGCCGGGTTTCTAAATAGTATTAAATCCGTATTTCCAAATGAAGTAATTGGCATCGATTTATTGGGCCCTTTCCCAAAAAGTCAGTTAAATAAAAGTCGCTATCTCCTTGTTATGGTTGATCATTTTAGTAAGTGGACCGAAATTGTTCCCTTAAAACGAGCCTCCGCGAAATTAGTTACTGATTCTATTTTAAATAAATATATTTTAAAATACGGGGCGCTCCTAAAAGTTATATCGGATAATGGTCCTCAATTTGTAAGTAATGTATTTGAAGACATGTACCAAAAATGGGCATACGTCATTTAAAAATGGTCCCGTATCGGCCGCAATCAAATATAGCGGAACGGGTCAATAGAAATATAGTGAAAATTATCCGTAGTTATGTTAAAAATTTTCATAAAAGCTGGGATAACTATGTCAATGAATTTGCTTTCGCCCTTAGGACCGCAAAACATGATACAACGGGCAAAACTCCTGCTGAGTTATTTTTAGGCAGAAAGATTATAACGCCGTTAGATAAATTATTTTATGCTCTAAAACGGAAGATCTACTCATCCGACAGGACTCTCCGCAGCAAATGTCGCCAAACTGCGGAAGGGCCACCAGCGGCGGAGGAAAAGTTACAAGGAAAATTTGAACGGCCAGCAACGAGGTCCAAGCAGGAACACGAAAGAAGTTTCCCGGTTCCGCCAAGACCAGCTGCCATCAAACGGCCAAGACCACAGGCAGAGGCGAAAAAGAAGGTATTCAAGGGTGACCGAACTGGAAAAAAAAGAAAGCTTCTAGAGAAAGGCACTGAAGGACGAGCCCGCACACGAAGGAGGATAAATCAAACAACAATCTACGCTACTTTCCAGGACTGGGCTCAGAAAAGAATGTCCGAATATTACAAAGATAAGTAAAATTTTATGTTACTTTGCAAACTTAAGTTAATCTTTCATTCTTACTGCAAGTGGCAGATTTCAAGAAGTTTTACCTCATGCGAGGTCTACCTTTATCGCCAAAAGGGCGAGAAATGAGTTGTTACCGATTTTGGTATTATGTTTTTCAATTACTCGCGTGTAAAACTAAAGTTGATGTATAATAGCGATGTGTAAAGACTTAAATATTGTAAAAGTTATTGTATAAATTTTATTTAAAACATTCTGGCAAGAAAGAAGTTTTAGTCTGAAAGACTTTTTGAAATGTAGTATTTCAATGTAGAAAAATTGGCACTTGCTTTGAAAAGAATAGAAGTT